GAGTGCATATTACGGCTGCCGGTAACAAATACAATAATCGGATGAACAATATATATGTGGAGCTATAACTATTCTGACCGATCTTCACCAAATTTTACATACTAGTTTCTAGACTAAATTCGGTCCCAAGTGCCAAATTCCATCCCATTTGGACAAATATTAGACGATTGGTGCATAATAAATGGTAATCGGACGAAGTTATATATGGAGGTATATCCAAATCTTAACCGATCTCGATAAAATTTAGCAAAGGTATTTCTGAGCTGCATTTGATATATTTCCCCAAATATTGTTGTTACATAGTGCATATTACGGCTGCGGAGGACAAAAATAACAAATCGGATGAACAATATATATGGGAGCTATAGCTATATCTGAACTGATTTCGATAAAATTTGGCATACTTATTTTCAGGCCTAATTTGGTTGTATGTGCAAAATTCCATACTATTCGGACTGATATTACACGTTTGTGCACAATAGAAGGCAAATCGGACGAAGATATATATGGGAGCTATATCTAAATTTTTACCGATTATCTCCAATTTCAATAGGGTTCGTCCTTGGGCCAAACAAATGTTGTTTGCAAAATTTCATCTCAATCGGATAATAAATGCGACCCTGCATTTTGTTCACAAGAATACATGGACAGATGGACGTACGGACGGACGGACAGACGGACTGACATGCATAAATCAACTCAGAAAGTGATTCTATGCAGATCCTCAAAAGGACTATGGGTCTATCTCGTTTCCTTTTCCTGTTACAAACAAATCCACAAAGACATAATACCCTGACCACCTTGTGGTGTAGGTATAAAATGGAATGCTTGTAAAGCAAGGTTGGCACTAAAAATACCAATTTGTCGATCATCTGAAGCAAGCGAATGGGCCAAAATACTGCAGAGCAAGATTCGGGCAGCGTGTGACGGTTCCATTGGCCGTTTGAAGGCAATAATCGTGCCAAAGTGACCAATTCGAAAAAATCTAAACATATTCTAAAATTTGATGCTATTTCAGAGATTTTTGCTTTCATTCAAAAAAAAATTAAAAAATGTAAAAATTATGGCGTTTGATATTGTGAGTCTCTGAACAAAGAAATTTAAATACATAATATGCGATACTGAATGTTAAGCACTCAACTCATAATCGTTAACTGGCGGGATACACGTTACGTACTTTCCCTTTGGCAGTTCCGCCCCTTACTCGATCTTTTCTTAGTATCCTTAACGCAAATTATTTATTATTTTATTATTATTATTTATTAAAAATAATATACTCGTACATAACTCATACATCTTTAATCTTTTATTGCATATATATATATAATATCGTGTATATAAGATAGTAAATTGTATATAAACTAAAAACTTAACAATATACATACACACTTACATAATAATTATTTGTTTTTTATTTATACATAACTAACTACTTGCAATACTATATTGGGTGTGGATTTGTAAAATACTCCAAATACATTTCGATATCCTACAAAAATGACTCGGTCGCCTATCGCACGCGTCCTCCAACCACGAATGAAGACGATCGGCTTATTTTCGACCATTCAATCGATCTTGGATTTCTTGAAGACTCAAACCTTTCGTCTCCATGACAATGAGAGGACAAAGAAGAAGGCAACGATACAGAAGATACCGAACAGCCAGAAAGCAGCATAGTAGAGCCATGGCATCCAAGGCCGGGTAGAAATAGGTTACCAGGAAACCACAAATCCAGCAGGTGGAGGCAACAATGGAGGAGGCAATCGACTTGACATTTGCCGGGAACATTTCACCCAAAACAGCCCAGGGCAGGGGACCGAAGCCAACACAATAGACAATGTTGTAAACACCAAGGCGGGAACGGGCAACCACAGGACACTGGAAGTATCTCCCACAACGAGTTTCATATAGAAAAAACCACCCAACGCCGCCAGACCCACTGTCATAATACCAGCCGATGTCAGGAGAATGACTTTGCGACCCAAACGATCAGCAATGATGGGAGTTAAGCCAGACGAAGCCACTTGTACGATGCCCACATAATTGTGGCAACGGCAGGATCCAAACCAGTATTGGCACTTTCGAAAATCGATTGCGAATTGAAAGCACCACGTTGATGCCAGAGAATTGTGGAAAACCAAGAGACCGGCAGAAATGAACAAAGCCTTACGATTGCCAGGGTTCTTAATAATATCGGCAATAGAACCCTTATTGGCCATTGATTCCTCAACACCAGCCTGGATGGTGGCCATTTCATCCTGAGCACCATCAGCACTTTGACCGCGAAGGAATTGCAACGATTTCAAAGCTTCCATTTTGCGACCCTTACCAGCCAAATAATAGGGACTTTCTGGCATAAAAAAGAAGCACACATCGAAGACAATGGGTACGGCGATGCAGCACCATTGTAGAGCTTGATATGAGACATAGGGGCCAATGGCATAGACGTAGAGGATGCCAGCTAAAAACGGGAGAGAGAGAAATTGAGTGGGCACTAAAATTTGGGAACAAAAATGCCCATTACTTACACACAATAAACAATTGCATAAGGATCCCGTGGCAACCTCTCACACTGTCCGTGGCTATTTCACCCACATACATGGGCTGGGCGGTCATAACGAAACCAACCCCGAAACCCTGAATCAATCGAGCCACTAGCAAAACCACTACCGAGCCACCCGATCATCATGAGCACATAGGCAATGACAAAGAACACGGAGCTGGAGAGTAGCACCCATTTGCGACCAATTTATCGGCTAAGGGACCAGCAACAAGGGGGCTGGAAGAAATTGAAAAAAAAAAATCAAAATTGGATTTGTAAATGATTATTTCATAAAAGAATAGTAAAACTATGTCCTTGGCCACAATTTATTTGAAGAAAGCAAAAATCAATATTTACTGTAAATAATGTAGGCGACTTGAAAAATAAGTAAATAAGGAATCAAAACCTGAAGAACGGAAGTATAATAACCTTCAATCACCACTAAACTGTGAATTTGGGTGCATTTATGTACCAAGATTTAAACTATATATCAGGAGGTTAAAAACCTGTACATGGCTAGTGCTACTTTATCCACAGCTCGAATCGAGTTTAATCTTTTCTCAAATTCGAGCGTTAGTAATGTTGCTAGTAAAAATATCGAGCATACTCGTTTTTTATGCCACTGTGTTTTTCTCTTATTGGCTTAAGTAAAGCATACCGATCGCCCTCCCCCAACAACATCAAAACCTTCTGTAACTACACAGAAATTCGAGTAACGCTTGCTCTATAAACATGTTTACCACCCTAATTTTTAGAAAGAAGTAACAGTATCTTTTAGTGACAAAATCTGGATTCATATTAAATTTTTCTATCTGAGAGAGAGAGAGATAGAGTTGAACCAATTCGGATGAAATATTGCAAGGATCTTAAACAACAATTAAAATAGGCCAGCACCTGTGAATGGGGTCTATGTCAAAATTGGCACATATTTTAGACAATTTAAAAAAAAAATGCAAAAATGTCTGCTGAAATTTAAGTTGAAGCTCTTAAAAACCGGAAATCAGTGTGTGGCAATCAATATGTATTTAAAACTCTCAAAATACTTTAAGTCGTGAGAAGGAAGGTTAATCAGGTTACTAGGGAACCTATGCTGAACATTTTATTTGGAGAGAGAGCCATTACAATATTCAAATGCGAAACATTGAAAAAAAAAATCGGTGAATAATGTAGCTAAAATCATCAAAATACCGAATATAGGGAGTACCAAGAGGGGCTATACCAAATGTGGACCAGCACAGACACTTTTCTGTCACAGGCTGTAGTATTTATTACGAACTTTAAATACCAAATTTGAAACAATTTTGGTGAATAATGTCGCTAAAATCATCAAAATACCGAATACCAAATTTGGAACAATTCCGGTGAATGTGTCGTTAAAATCATCAAAATACAGAATATCAGGAGGTACCATTATATGGGCGCTATACGAAGGCATGGACCTGCACAGACAATTTTTTGTTATAAGCTGTAGTATCTATTACGAACTTCAAATACTAAATTTGAAACAATTCCGATGAATAATGTCTCTAAAATCATAAAAATATTGAA